CTTTCTCAGATGGGGTAAATAATGTTCAGAGTATAGGAACTGCTGCAGCCTCAAGAGGTACTTAGGCAACACCCAAGAATGGAGCTCAGTATTTCTGAGTGATGTGAAGCCTGCAACTTTAAAAGCTCATCAATTATTACCTTTTAGATTTATAAAAATATAGGAAGCATACACTTTCTCTGATAAATCCCAGAGTACAACTTTTCTTTCTAAGTCAGGCTCATACTTCCTATTGTTTTCTAGTTCTACATGTCATAGGTGCTTTTATGCATTTCCATTTCTTCAGCAAAATTAGTTGTCTTTAGGGCAGGATTTCTATTCATAGTCATGCAGTTATGGTGGCCGTGCGCACCACAAAGTTTGTCATGATCCCTGCACTGACTAGCAAATTTGATCAGTCATCAGAATAAAGATAAGCAGCATGAGCTAACTAGGCCTTTCAAACACTGCAGTACTTTTGTTTTTTATTGAGTTTATGCTGGTCACAACACTGGATGTGATGTAGAGGCACAAAATGACACTTTTTCAGATATCCCCGCAGCGCACCCAGCAACGAGGCACCTCCAATCTTCCACCATCATTCATTTTATTCTCTCCTCCTCTTGTAGCCTTGATTCCAGGGCCAGTTTTCTAGGGTTTGTTATTGGTTTGACTTTACCTGGCACTTTGTTTTGCTTCTCTATATTTCACATGTAAGGGAAATCACCCTGTCAAATGCTCCAATACTTTAAATACAGGTTACCTGGGGAGGAAAGCAATGATTCTACATGCTTAATTTAAAAATACTGCCCTAAGTAAAATAAAAGCTGGCAAACAAGCACCTCAAAATGTCTTCTTTTCCTCTTTACCTATTTTCAGAACTGACTACCAACAGGACAAAATATTTCATGTTTTAACCCCTTTCCCTGAGTGCCCGGCAGTGTATTACTTCTTGACCTGTCAAACTAGGAAGCACTCCTGTTTTTTTACCGAGACTGCCACAATTGATGACAAATCCTTCAGCAGAGTAGCTGTTAAGCACATGGGCCCTGAATCACTGCCTGAGACTGAAGTCTGACTTTGCCATTTACAAGCTGAGAAATCTTAACCCATTTACTTAACCCTCGGTGTCTGTGCACTTCGTCTATAAAATGGAAATGACAGTAGCTACTCCATTATTTCTATAAACCAGGCTGACTGCAACAATTCCTAGAACATGCTAACTACTAAATAAATGTTCAAGCCCATTAGGCTGTGAATCTCGATCAGTGAGTCATTTTGTCTTATCTCTTCCTGATCTAAAGGGACAGAGGGAAACATTTTTCTCTTCCCATTTCCTCCCTTCCCATTTCATGTCCTCCCTCTCTCCCTCTTCTGAATGAGTAGCCTGGCAAAGAATTCCCTGCAAGTGTGGCCTCTAACCTCTCCTGCGATTTCCAAGAGTCTTCTTTTGCCTCAGATTCTTTCTCCACACTTTCTCCAGCTTCTCATGCAGTTGCCCATGTTGGACCTTCTGTCCACATGCTGTTCGACACTAGGCAGGTTAAGCTCAAATCAGGGAGAAAGGAGGTAGCCCTCAGTAAGTTCTTTATCTAGCTTTAATAAGTACAGCTTATCCTTGAACAATCACTAAGTTTGAAATTTGGTGATCCACTAAAATACACATAGCCTTTTCTGTCTGCGGTGTCCACATTCATGAATTTGACCCATTATGGGTAGTTGGATCAACTGACATAGGGCTGGTTGAATCCACAGATGTGGAACTGTTATACTCAGATTTTGACCACTTGAACCCATGAACCCTGCACTGTTGTTGGCCAACTCTATAAACAGATTTTGTGAATCGAATCTAACTTCTCCGCTTCGTCAGAGGTTGAAGGCAGAAAGATCTGACACTTTCATAGCCTAAGAGACAGGAAATGAGTTGAATTCCTACCCTCTACCCATTTCCTATCTTTAAGTGCTGCTTTTCGTTTGTCTAAGTATAGCTAGAAGTCATGGCCTGGTCTTCTTCTTTCCTTCAACAACTATTCAGTGAGCACCTGCCATTGTGTTAAATACTGAAGACACTGGAATGAAAATGAAAATGAAAAAGCCCCAGACCCCTTGGTGTCATCTATAAATGTCAGATTGCTTAATATGTCTTCTTTCCTTTCCTTCTGCTCTAGCTACAAACACACTCATCCTGCAACTAGTGCTTTACCCAAGCACGTTAGTGGCGACTGAATCCAATGGCTGTTTCAAGCCAGTGTAGTGCTGGTTTAAGGTCAAGGTACAGTGACGCTAACACCACATGAAGCACAGTCAGAAAGGATGCAAGGTGACATCATGGTGATTCCTCTGTCAAGTGGGCACCATGAATAAACCCAGTGTAGATCTGCCTCCTGATTCCTTTTGTTTGTCCTTCAGCTCTATCTGGGAAGCACAGGAGCTGCTCAGGCAGGTGAAGGACACTTAGTGACGCCTCAAATTCGACGCCGAAATGCTGGCTGATAAAAATTACTTGTTAGGAGATCAAATTACAACAAGAAGATACCTGATCAGAGTGATTCCTTTAAATAAGTCTGATATCAGCAGAAGTAAGACCCACACGCAAAGCTGCAGCTCAAAGGCTGAATGTTGGCAGAGGAGAGGAACAGCATCTTGAAACACGATAATGACTTGCATTGAGAGCACAAGTTAATATTACTCTAGGGATTATGCTGTGGATCTTCTTATTTAAAGTGTTACCTAATGCTCGAAAAGAGGAAGTGCACGCCAAGCTTAGCCTCATTAACTCTGTGAGTTGGTTGTAGAGACAGGGTCATGTCTTTCAGAACTCAGTCCCCAGAGTCCTGTGTGTATTTTTTTTTTTAAAGTGTGAGCTGATCATTATTTCCCTCAGGAATCATCATAGTTAAAAGTGGGAAAAAATGAAATTAAATGAGGACTAGCACTTTCATTCTCTCTTAAAGACACCAGTGAGATCAGCCACCCCTGGGGTTTACTTAACTTTTTTACTATGCGCTGTGCAAGGAAAGCAATCATTCCTGCTACATGCTAATCCCTAACATAGGCACACTTCATCTGCTTATTTAATCCTTTAAAGTAACAATTCCTCTCCAATTTCCCTGCTTTCCATCTTATTAGGCACTTGAAAATGTGCTACACTCTAGAACCAGCCAGAGGAGCCTAGTAGCAGGTTATGTCATGCACTCTGGCGAGTCCCACAAATCCTCAGGACCATTTAGTAGCTGGTATTCAGATGGGATTTGTGGGGGCCTCCGTGCCTACTATTTTTCCTCAATGTGGCGATGTGCGCAGCACATGTAATAGTTCCTGATGGGGCCACCAAAGTAATAAAATGTTTCTCTTGCTTCCCAAGCTGGGAACAAGAAAACTCCTAAAAATCTATAGGGAAAGGACTAAGGTTCAAAAATGAACAGTTCAATACTTATTGGGGGCATGTCATCCATCAATATCATGATGCATTGCACTTCAATGTACTGTGGAGAACTGTGGTGAAAAGAACAGAGGCTATTCATTTTAAGTATCACTTAGTAACAATTTTTAGATGTCGGGTGATATTTCACTCAAGAAGATCCTCAACAGGCTTTTGAAATGCAAGCAATTTACGAACTTCTGCATTGGCCCAGTTTATTTTTCTAGTCTTCAACCATTCTGAATATAATGACTCAGGATTAGGAAGGGAGAATAAATGCTCTACAGAAGAATATTGGCAATTTCACTTTTCTAGCTACAAATGCCTGTAAGTCTTTCCAGGGTTTACATTATGACTGATTCCAAATAGCCTTTTCCTAAAGACATTAAAATACGAATCACTCTTAACTAACAAGTCATGTTTTCCTCTTTCTTACCAAATGCCTGTCATGCTTTATCAGGTTTCTGATTTTTTTTCTAAAATACTTAAATCTGATCAGCAGTAATCATTTGTAAAAAGTTTGTACAATATGAGTTTCACGATGTTATTATTCACATTACTCTATCTTGAGTATCTCAACATTGCTGTCTTAAAAATTATAAATCTTCCTGTGTCTACAATTGCAAACTAACTGTGCTTTTACTTTCCTTCTTTGGCATTCCCTCCACCCCTCACCTTTTTGACACCCATGCAACAACTTTTCAGTCAACTTTTCAGTGAGCAGCAAGACCAGTGACCAGTGAATGTTTATAAACTAACCAGCAATGACAATATGGAGGATTAGTTCATGAAATTGTATTTTTTCCTGTGTTCTTATATGGATTCCTGTTATGTGGTAACTTAAAAACAAAACAACAACAACAACAACAAAAAAAAAACAACAAAAAAAAACCATTTCTGGACATGTTTCCATCTCCTGTGGATAACCTCCTTTCCTCTGCTTCACAAACTGTTTCTGGTATTCTCCCACAAACCTCCAAGTTACTGTTAATAGGTACAGGCACACCTTGCTTTTTCGCACTTTGTTTGATGGTTCTTATTGGATCTGCATTTTACAAATAGGTTTATAGCAACCTTTGGCCCACCGAATCTATTGGTACCCTTTTTCCAACAGCAAACATGTGCTGACTTCATGTCTCTGTATAATATTTAATTTAAGGTACAGATTTTTTTTAGACATAATGGTATTGCATACTTAAGAGACAAGAGTATTATGTAAACAGAATTTTTATATGCACTGGGAAACCAAAAAAATTCCTATGCTCACTTGATGGTGATGGTCTGGCATTGAACCTGTAATATCTCTGAAGTATTGCCACAATCCTGAACATCAACTTTTCTCCCCACAAGTACAGCAGCCAACCAAATAGTGTCAGACATAAATTCCGTGAATATTCTTATCTCATCCTGAATTCAGTGCACTATTAACAATCCAAAAGATATCAAGGCTAGGCCCAGAGCAAAGCATTCTCCTGGAAACAATTACTCATATGCAGATTCAGAAGCATTTAAGGGTGGACCATTGGCTCTGCTCCTGATGGTGTAATGCATTGGCTCTGATCTGCAATGTTTATGCCAGCTCCCAGTCAGCACTCCATACCTGCCCAACCAGTGTAAGCAGTGCTGTCTCGAGGGTCTGCTGACTTTAGGCCTCTCTCCATTTGCTGAAGAAGCTCTCGGATCTTATTGCTCAAGCGTTGTGAGAACTCAGGAGTCAGCTGTAAAAATTAGAGGGAAAACAAGTATCAAAAAAATATGGGTCACCGAACCTTCTGGACTACAGTTTATCAAGACTAGGAGGGTATTTCATTTCGACATGGGTGACATGTTTCTGCCTGGGAGAATTGAACAATTATTTTCTTCTTAATGAGCAGCAACACATTGACAAAATTTCCAAGTATGACATTTTCCTACTTATAGTAGGAAATATTCTTATTTGTAAATTAAATTTTATTTCAATTAATTTTAATTAAATATAAGCTAGGCTAGCGATGATAAACTGGCTCGCAGTAATTTCCAACAGGGCTCATCTATTATTTAAACTACTATTTTTATTATACTAAAAGTCATTTTATTAAATTAAGCACAAATTAGATGTTTATTGCTTTCAAGCCATGGAACTTTAGTATTCAGGTGGCAGCAATATTAATTCTCTACAGAAGCAGTTTTGTTATTTAACCAATGGAGCAACAGTTTTGAAAAATTGTGTAAGTAGAAAAAAAGCAAAATAAATTCATGGACAGAGAAGCCTCATGCACAATGGAAAGAATATCAGACTCAGTGTCGAAAATCTACACCAGCAAGTGACTAGCAGAATAGGGCTTCATAAACACTGATGGCCTTGAGCAGCTAATAGCTACTAGCTAACTGATATGATCATAAAGAAGCAAAGTAATGCTTCAGTTATCTCTGTGTAGGCAAGATAATAATAACGGATCCACCAATTTCAAAAGGATCTGTTCCATTCAGAGATGTAAACTTTTTACTTATTTATTTTGTTATTTTAAGAAATCCAAGCATCTGTAACCAATGTAATTTGGGATATGAATTAAAAGCTGGGGCTCTGGCACTGGTGATTTCCACGTATAGATGCTGGGCAAACTGTGACACCCACAGTCAGTATGCTATTCCCCCTAACAACTGAAAAATGTTAAAGCTCCATATGCACTGAATTATGATGTGTATTAACTGGTTCCTTTAATGTAGCCCTCAATAATTTTAGGAATCAGTTGTAATTCCCAGAGTTGGATTTTACAAAGCGGTAACATTGCAAAACAAGTTGGAAAGCATTAGAAAGGATATTGTGTAGTTTGTAAAAACAAGCCTAGCCATTAGGTGTTAATGGTATCATAACCTCAATTTTTTAAAATGGAAATCATAACATTTAAAAAAGAAGGTGGTTTTATATTAATAATAATAGAGATTAAGTATTACTTCCGAAGAGCTTTTCTGATAAGACAAACAAGACTATCAATGGTATCTGGATTATTTATTCTAAGAACCCCTATTTCATGCTCTTAAAAAAGAAATCACACGTTTGATGGGCACACTCCTATTATTTAACAATTTCTGCCAAAAGGTTAAGATTTCAACAAGTCTTGAAAACACATTTAGTAAGATGAAATAGACTTCAACATTAATATAAAAGGTCTATAAATTTCTACTAGATAGAAGAGTACATCTAGATGAGAACACAGGTCATCTTCTGTTCACAGATCATGTATAATTTATCATTCTTGCCTAGCCTTATTCTAAGAGACCAAGAATAATGAAAATGTCTGAGCCACAGGAAAGGAAGTTACTTTCTATTTGGCATGCACTACATTTAATAGCGGTGGCCCGCCTGAAACTATTGATTACTTGTGGCAGACCACAAAATTATTCAAACTCTAGCAGTAATTTGAAGAGTCTCTAACGGGCATTTTTTTTTTCTCTTCTGATTGATGCCAGAAAACAGAACAGTTCCTTATTGAGATCTTTAAGGAGGACAGATCTCCAGGGTCTGATCCTTAGTGTTCAGCATTAAACAATTTTAGAAAAGGTATGCTAGTTCCTTCTGGGATCTGTTCAAACTCATGTCTTAGGTAATAAATTACATTATTTTGGAACTACAGTTTATGAATATACCTTTCCCCTCTTAGAATATGAATTCAACATTTAATTTATGAAGAGCCAAAACAGTGAGCTACATTTTGTTACAGGCTTCTGTCATTAAGAGACATTCTCGAGTTTCCTCTTTGCCAAGTTAGCATGAAGCAGCATGTCTTTCTCCCACAAGAACACACACAAACCTCAGTTACAGGATTTGAGGGATAGGAAGAATGCAGGTCCATATGGCTAATTCTAATGGAGGCCATGAGAGCTCCAGATAATATTAAGCATCTTTGTTTGGGTAGTTCAGTTTTGGTCTTAAAAAACCCCCCAGATTCACTAACTCTACATACTCAAATGGTATGTAGCCGCCTATCCCAAAACTCTTCTCCACCTCTTTCATTATTTCTACCTATGTTACAAACCCAAGTTAACATATATTGAGGAAAGACTCCAACAGTCACCTAAACTCAATTGATAGATAAGAAATCTCTAAAGCCATTACATCACGTGTGAAATGTTTTTCATATGACTGAGGCAATTAGAAGACACAAATTGATGCCAAATTGTGTGTATGTTGAAAAGAGCACTCTTCTAAACTCACCAATAGGATTTCTCACTAGTATTCTTATAAATAATTATATTTCCACTTAAAAATTATGTTCACCCAATAAGGCAGCCACAGGCCTCTACTATCGCATATCCAGGTTCTCTTTTGTATACTGGCATGTAAGGTTCAATTTTTTTTTTTCCCTTGGAAATGTCCTATTAAGAGTAACGCTGGTACAATTTCAGGTCTATGTCCCACATGTCTTGTAGCGCTTTCAGTTTAAAGACGTCTTCACCACGCAGTCCAGTTTACTCACCTTCACCTTGCCCATACTATGTCCAGTCCTAAAGCAACGGGGCACAGGTGATCTGCCTCACCACTCTTTAAAAAGCTCCAAATTCAAAGGCCAAATAATATGGTATAATGCCACTAATTTACCTAAATTATCAACGACAGTGATTATTTCAATCATTAACGAATATGAATACAAAAAGTCTCTAGAGATGCAACATATTAGAGCTCACATGATGTAGTTTAACATTTGCTATACCTAAAACACACGGTCTCTATTTAGTCTCAAAGGATGTACACTTAAAAGGGAATGATCCTCCTTTTCTTTTAGGAAAAACGGGGCTCCTCGCAGAATACTGGAGGTGAGAGGCAGGGATCAGGCAGGTATATCCCAAACTCACCCTCCCTTCAGAATCAAAGTAGCCTTCGGCCAGGGATTTGTTATAATCGGCATAAGGATTCGGAAAGGCCCTTTGAGCCATGACGACGGAAGCAAGCCTGCAGAACAGGGGAGAAAGAGAGCTTGGGGTGAGCCCGGGGCCTCCGCCGAGGTGCGAGGGCGGCGGCCACAGCCCAGGCAACGCCTTCCTTCCAGCTCCCGGGACACCGTGCAGTCTGGGCGGCCCGAGGGGACCACCGGCCCACCGCAGTCGCACTGGGGGGCGGCACCTCCACGAAAAGGGCGCCAGGGCCCTGAACCCACCGCGATGAAGGGGACCCGTTTTGCACCCCACGTTCCCACTGCCACGATTTGATGCAACTGGCGGTTCAGCGTGCTGCAGCCTGCTCCGGCCTGGGCCTATCACCCAGCAGCCTCGGACAATAACAGACGCAACGCTTTCACCGCCCACTTCCTGCCGGTGAACCAATCAGAACCGTCGCTACTCCGAGGCCCGCCCCTACACGCTTCATTTTGTTAAAGAGACAGGAGTGTGATTTCTGAAGGGTAACGCCACGTGATTCGATTCTTGGGTAGCTGGACCGGAGACTTATCATAGAATAAGATGCAAATGTGCCCAGTAGTTCCAGCGTTTCTTAAAAACGTATCACTTTTAAGGAAAATAATGCAAGTTCAGATAATTTATAGAATCAGAATTTTTTTTTTTGTTTGTTTTTGGTGTGGAGAGAAAAGGAGGCCTTTGGGATCTGAAGGTATTTATTGATATATTTATTCATACTGCTTGGACTGAGTAAAAGTGGGGAGGATAAAAGTTTCTCCAAAGACCTTGCAAAAGTTTTCTGTCACTTTTTAGAAACAGAAAGAAGCAACAAACAAACAAAAACAAAAAACCCTCAACTTCCTTCCCATGAACATCAGCAGTGACAAAAGTATTTGTCATTTGGATGTAATTTATGATAATTTAACTCAAAGCCACACGGTAAGTGATAGAACTGCCCAGGGAACTAGGCATCAAACTGTAATTAGTAAAACTTAAGGGGAAGTACGTGGAAACATCAATCGCAGCTATTAAGAAACTGAATCTGCTCTTGAGCCTAAATTGGGATATAAATAAGAACTATAACTGAACATCCACATCATTTAATTTCAATGTTAAATGTTAAAATAGTCTTCATTACACGCACATTTTTCCTTGCACTTAAACTTAAATCCCTCCTATTAGACAACTGGATCATGCTGTTGTTCAAAGGATTTTGGTGTTCTGTTGGAAAACCAGAAAAAGTCACTCTTTTGGCGCTTACTTTTCTCGTTTAAGTGAAGGACAGTTGCCTTAAACCTCCGGGCCTTTGAGTGCCATCCGCAACTCTACATTGGCCCAAGCTTATCCCTCTGTGACTGTCACCCACTACTGTACTGCTGCCTGCTGGTTTAGTTTGTTCTTTTTAAGTGTTGCCCCAGGACACTTGATAACTGCTTTACTAAATTCACAAACATTTAGTACAGGCCTTCAGTGAGTCTTAAATTGGATTTCCTTCCTTTTTTTTTCTTTTTTTTTTTAATGCATAGGTGTGCAGAAGAGCAACTAATAAAAAAAAAAAGAGAGAAACAATTTATCATTTTTTAAGAGTTGATGACTTACCAGCTTATCCCATTCACAGACTCTGTATGAGCAAGTAAAATCAACATGAAGGGCCTCCCTGGTGGTGCAGTGCGTTAAAGCACTGCAAAGCTAGTGGCAGCAACTTCAGTTCAGAGTTCCATACCCAGCCAGCGAGGCGACCTACATGGCACAGCAGACCTCTCCTTATCCCACCTGCTGCGCTCCTCAGCAATGTACTTAGTCTATCATTCCTATCTGCTCTCCACTGTCTCTGTGAATCCTCTCACTGCCTCTACACTTAGGCTGTACCCCAGTCCTGTATGTATAAATTAATAAATCTTAAAAAAAATATATAACATCCATGTGATATTTAAATAGATTAGTGGAATATGGAGAGAGACATCACAAGACAGAAGACTGTGCTTGAGAAGAAATCAACATTAAAGAGGAAGATGGGAAGGGAATAAATAATCAGAGAAAGGAGCTTGAAGGGCATTCTCCAGTGACCAAAGAATTTAGTGGATGATGTAGTGAGGTAGTGTAGACGGTCTCAGAATTAGCACTACTGACATTTTAGAAGGATGCTTCTTTGCTTGGGGAGGCTGTGTTTAATGTATGGTTAGCAGCATCTCTCAACCCTGCCCACTACCTGCCAGTAGCTCCTTATCCCTAGAACTGACAACCAAGAATCCTCCAGATGTTGCAGAATGTTCTTTGGAAAAGGAGTAGAGTGGGGAGATTGACCCTTGTTGTAAACTACTAAGGAAGTGCACCAAAAATGTTTAATGGGATTAAACTTTTACTCTGTTCTCATTACAGATGTGGCTTGCTTAGAATATTGTGCTGAAAGGAATTCAAAAGGAAGTTGGGGAGGTAGGATCTGTTTATGTGTGTGTTTATATCTTTAATTTCAGGTATAAAAATGACCTAATTTCACCTCTTGCTTTTAGTAGAGCATTCTCAGGCCATGCAAAACCCCTATTCTGTTTTTAAATTAATTCCGATTTCTTACCCTGCCCTCTCTTCCAGAAGGCGATCACCACAATATGTTTAATTTATATATGTTTTGGAAAATATGTCATGGTTTGTAAAGCTATGTCTTTTTAGTAAGTGAAATAGTGCTACAAATACTCAGTAGTTTATTATTCAGACATATTTGTATTGTTTTATACCTAGTTTTAGATAATCATTTTTTATTTTCATAGTAAAATCTCCACCTCATTTTACCTATCTTTTTCTCCAAGAATGGACATTGTTTCTATACCTTATATTACAAATAATACAGCCACTACCATCAAAGTACATGTACTTGAATGGATCTGAATGTGAGTGTCCCAAGGTTTGTGCCCCAAAGTGGGTTGCTGGATCATAGGACATTCTCATATTTAACTTCCTCACTGCAGTTCGATTGCTTTCTAGACCTTTTGGACTAGTTTATTTTCCTTCCAAATGAACTAATCATTTCTGTCATTCACGCGTTCACTCCAACACTTGATATCTAGTGTTCCAGTTTTTGCAATTATAATAGACAACGTGGAATCTCATTGATTTTAAAAATTTCAGTGCTTTGGTTGCTAATGATGATGAGATTTCTTCAGATACTTGTTAGACAGTTAACTGAGGTTGACTTGAGAAATTCACCTGCTCTTATTCTTTCCCCATTCTTCTAGGAATTGCATGCTTTTCTCATTGATTTGCATGAGTTGTTTTTGTTCATTGGTGGGGAAGAGATTCTAAATATCAATCTCTTTTGGTCTTAGATGTTACAGACATATTCTCTAGTCTATTAACTTTTCCTAGGGTAGCCTTCCCACTGAGCCATAGTTCTTCATTTTCATGAAGTTAAATTCAGCCAATTTTTATATTGTTACTTGAGGCTTTTTCTTCATGATTTTTAAAAATAAATATTTATTTATTTGTGCATACAGAACTGGGGTACAGATCAGAAGTGCAGGGGCGGTGAGAGGATTCACCAGAGATAGAGTGGGGAGCAGAACAGGCAGACTGAGGAAGTACACTGCTGAGGGGAGCAGCGGGCCGGTCAGGGGAGGTCTGCTGCACTATGTGGTCACCTGCCTTCTTCGTGATCTTTATTCATTTATAGGCAACATAGATGATTTCTTATATTTAATTTTTACTTTTTATTTATTTATCTGGTGCTCACTTTGGAATACAGTATAAAGCCTGGGTCCAGGCTCATTTAGAAGAGGGTATAGAGTGTTTTGAAATTTCAGGTATAGTAAAGCACAACTCTGTTAGAAAAATCCAAACATTTGAATTACTGGAATTCACATGAAACTTATTTCTTTTATTTGTTTTGTTTTGTTAGAGAACGAATCTCAAACGTTCTTCCTTGGCTATGGCTCAAAAGAAAAGTGCTTGACGTTTAGTACCTTTCTTCTAGGGCTGCCTTAAGAAAATAAGGCTCTTTACACAAGAGTGACTTATTATCTCACAGTTCTGGAGGCTGGAAGTCCAAGATCTAGACGTTGGCAGGGTTGGCCTCTCTGAAGCCTCCCTCCAAAGCTTGTGTTTAGCGGTCTTTTCCTTGTCATTCCATGACTTCTCCCTTGACCTGTTGGTGTCTTAGTCTCCTTTTGCTATAAAAGATAAGGTATACTGGATTAGGGTTCACTATCAAGGTCTTATTTCATCTTAATTTATTCCATAAAGAAATGGTATCTCCCAATATAGCCAAATGCTAAAGTACTGGCAGTTAGGATTTCAAAAACATAAATTTGAGGAAGAGGAATACAGTTACTTATGGCAGAATACATTTGTGGTTCATACAGATAGGATTGTTGATGATTTTTCAAGGACTGTTCTACTTGTAATATATTTAAAATATTCTTATAAAAAATAGTACAGTGTTCGCAGCGGGTTAAAGCACTGCACTGAGAAGCTAAAGCCACTTCTGCATGAGTTCGATTCCCGCCTGCCCCAGAGGAGACCACATGGCGTGGCAGACCTCTCCTGACCCGCCCGCTGCTCCCCTCAGCAGTGTACTTCCTCTACCTGCCTGTTCTGCTCCCCACTCTGTCTCTGGTGAATCCTCTCACCCTTTGCATCTCTGGCCTGTACCCCAGTTCTATATGGATAAATAAATAAATCTTTAAAAAAAAAAAAAACAGAATGCCTCTAGAAACCTGGAGAGGTTTATATTTATTTATTTATTTATTGCCAGTCATTTTATTTTTATTTTTTTTAAATTAACATAATTTTTATTTTTTAAATTTTATTAAAAAATTAATATAATAGTTTATTTTTACATCATTTTGTGCCTTTTTCCATCTCAGTTATAATCCCTGTGGGCTTCCCATTACCAAATCACCCGTGTGCCATCACCATAGTCCAGTGCATTTCCCTCTCTCCACCGTATTTGATCCCATTCCCTGTTCCACCCCTATAAAATGTCTCTGGTATATAGCTGTTCATTATTATTATTATATTCTTGCTGGGTCTAGAAAGGTTTATATTAAAAAAAAAGAAAACAGGTATCATTTGAGGGCTTTTTGGTTTCATTCTATAGTAATGTGTATTAGGGTGAAAACCAAGTTACAGTTCCAAAGAGGCTCAGAAACAATGGCTAATATATTAGCCATTATATTTATAATATATAAATAGACTTTTATTTTTTTCTCTGCCTTGATGATAATTTTGACCCATGTGGCCACTCAGGATCACAGATGGTTTTCAACTTTCTTATTCCCTCCCATAGAATGTCATCCTCATCCGCCACTCTTAGGTATGTCTGTATTACAGCTTGTGGAAAGACAGGGAAACACAGAGGAGTGTGTATCTGATGCCTTCAGTCC